TTTATTTATTAATTCATTTTTTATTAAATATTTTTATTTTTTACTTTACTTTTAGGGGCTTTGGGGACCCCTGATATTTCCCTTTTAAAATAGAAAAAGGGATAGAGGACATAAAGTCCTCTATCTCTTTTTCTGTATCCCCTGTTATCAATGAAAAGGAATCCTTTGAGTGTTCCTGATCACTGATCGCTTAGTGTTTGTACTCGCTCACCTCTCTGACATGCTGTCACAGGAGGCTGAGCGAGCGGTGCACGGAGGAGAGCTCAGCCTCCTGTGACAGCGCGTCAGAGAGGTGAGCGAGTACAAACACTCAGCGATCAGTGATCAGGAACACTCATAAAGGATTCCTTTTCATTGATAACAGGAAAGAAAGCAGGGATGAGCTGATGTATCGGCAGGAAAATGGCACTTTCGGCATTAAGACAAAAGTGCCATTTTCGGCTGATATGTTTCGGCGGCCGATATATCGGCGCATCCCTTAATTTTTTTTTTTTCTAGGTGCTAAAGTTATACTCACCAGGTCATCTTAGCTGGCTCCTTGCTTCTGTGATCACTGAAGCATGTCTCCTCCTCCACTGCACAGATTGACTGCTCCTCGGCATCCTCGCATCTACAGTGTATACACAGTCTATGCACAGTGTATAAAGTGTGATGGCACCAGGATCCTTAGCCCACTGTAGCAGAGGGGGAGAGACGCTCGAGACACCGGTCTCGGATGGTCTGGTGAGTATAACTTTTTAGCACCTAGACATACAAGAGCACTTAAACCTTGCAGTGTGGGGGTAGCCCCACTGCAAGGGTTAATACAATTTTCCTGGCCTTTTTCTTTAAATCAGGTCCACCTACCATGAATAAGCAATCAAGAATTCCAACCTGCTCTCAGACCGGAAGTTCTAATGGTGGATTGCCACCTTCATTTGCATAACTTTCTAGATAGGGTTTATCGGATCTTCGAGCTTTGTAAAAGCTTGTAAGGCTAATTAGACTTACAAACTTCTCCAAATATTCAATACTATCTATTTAGTTCTCTCTCTCGTTCAGGAAAAACTGAGTCTGTATGTAATTTTAATTAAAATAATTTGCCACAAGGCACCTTATGGTAAAAGTAATATGTCTACCCTTTTAAAATTACACTTCACTATACCTCGGTTTGCACATTTATATGGTTTCTTTAATAAATATCCTGTAAAAATGAACAAATATAACATCTATCTATATATGGCCTTACATAAAGTTATACATTTATTCATTAAGATAAGGAAAATTCCCTTTCAAAGTGAAAATTCCCTTGCAAAGTGAACATCTATTTGCCTTTAGTAAATAAACCCCAATGTTTATAAGGAAAGGGTCTTGGGTGATGTAGTTTTAGGATATGCTTGTATCAATAGGAACTGATCTTCCAGCAGCTGGCACTGCTAGAATTTTACAAGCTTGCCGATGATATCACAGAGATTAATACAAGCTGTTTCTCGCCACAAGAACAATGTAAGAGGAAAAAACTAAATAAAAAATGAATACTGCGATGTGCTGCTAAGGTTGGTAAATTTAGGTAATGTCTGGACACTTTAAACTACCTAAAAAACTCTACGAATTCTCGTAGACTTTAATGGTGAGATATATATGCTTCAGTTTCCAACCATGCACATCTCCTGCAGGCTTTTTAGGGGGGCCCTACTCTGTTTTATCTTTATGTTATATTGAGGAAGATTAAAAATTAGGTATATGAACAATTCACAGTGTGACAGAAAATATGGCACTCACTGCTAGAGACCACAATGCATACAGTATAAGTATTCAGCTGATGAAACAGGCTGCCGTACCCTACCTGTAAAATGAATATCACTTTTGAGTGGACTACCCTACAAGAGGAAATGCATGCTTTCCAACCAATATTTTGTTCAGCTATTCTGTATTAGGAGCAACAGCCTTACATTCATAAACATGCCCATTATAACCAAAAAATTAATTCTGTACAGAGCCTCCTGTAACAATTGTGAAACCACTTGAAGACCAGCAAGTATTTGTGGGAGACAAAGTAGAAATGGAAGTGGAAGTGTCAGAAGAGGGAGCCCAAGTTATGTGGTATGTTAATTTTGCTAATCTCCTTTTCAAACATTATTTTCTTATATCAGACCAGTCTCTAGTGGAATTTCCTAAGATACGAATTGCCAAGTTACTGTAGCCAAATTCAATTTGCCTGTTGAGCAGACTGTGCAATGTGCATTTTGAGGGCATCTATTTCATTCTTGACTAGGATGAAAGATGGAGTAGAGTTAACCCGTGAAGAGACCTTCAAATACAGATTCAAGAAAGATGCAAAAAAACACATTCTAATTATTAATGAAGTTACTAAAGAAGATACTGGGCGTTACCAAGTGATGACCAATGGAGGAAAGTGTGAAGCTGACCTTATAGTTGAAGGTATGGATTAAAAAAAGATTTGTTCATAATGTACTTTTAAGAATACTTAGTTTTCTTTTTCAGGCTTGCTATACAAATAACTAAAAAAAAAAAAATCACAGACCCACACTCGCGTACAATGGGCAAAAAAAATTTCAAGTTATCAGAACTCAGCATGAGACAGATATATGTTACCTATTAGGGAGAAGAACTGTGATCTACCTAAAGTTTACAGTTTAGATGAGGTTATAATGTCATATGGGACTCTCCATTTAGGTTCTATGAGCCTTGATTATTACATTCCTGATATTACATTCCTATGGCTAACATTATACACCACTTTACTGCTAAATGCATCTGTAGTATAGTGGTTTACAAAATAATGTAAATGAGGAGTATAGGGGACATAGACACTGTCTTACAATGAGTAAGATTTTACTGTGTTTTAACACAGTAAATCTCAGTGAGAGGACCTTACAGCACAATGAATTGTGTTTTCTTGCAAGATCTGGGCTCATTGCTATTCCCTTAGATCTTGCCAGGGGGATAGTGACACCAATCTTGCCTAGGCACCATGGGCAGAAGCTGGGGTATTAACTTTATGTACCCCACAATTTTTGACAGTTTAGCGCAGCAAGTTAAGATGGGGGAGGGGCCCCATACTGAACCTGTAAGTGGACTTTGCTATTTAGATACAAGGCCTGAGTTAGATTTAATAAACACAATGGTTGTTTGCTCCCATGCAAGGATGCAAGTGACTCTGATTTCCCAAAACCTAACCTCAGCTACCTGTCATAGTAACATACATTGGAAGCCTAATGGATGGGCTAAAGTGATGTAGAAGTTTCTTGAAAATCTAAATAAAAAAGGTCATTTTTCATATATATTGTATCTTTAACTTTATAACTATGGTGCTTTATAAATATTACAAACCTTCTAACATATGTCCTTCCAATAAATGAATGGCATTTACTTACTACATACAGAGAAGCAGCTGGAAGTTATACAAGACATTGCGGACTTGACTGTAAAGGCAACAGAACAGGCTATCTTCAAATGTGAGGTGTCTGATGAAAAGGTCACTGGCAAGTGGTATAGGAATGGAGTGGAAATCAGACCAAGCAAGCGTATCACAATGACCCATAAGGGCAGGTAAATATTTTTTAGGAATTCTGCTACACAATTTACTAATACAGTGGTCTTTGAAGAACTGTTGGGCCCATATCACACAACTGATCTTGTTGTCAGACGACAACTAACAAGCAACAGGATCACTGAAAAATCTTTTTCTGTGGAGTCACTCCCTCACTGATGTTGCTCCCTTGCTCGAATGCAATAATAAACACACAGCTACATTAAAGTATATATAAACCCAAAATCTTTTCCTTAGTATGTTTGCCCTTACAATTTAGATTGTTCTCGAACAAATCATTTTTGTGAATCTGCTGTAAAGTTTCTAACTTGGATATCCTGCCAATTGGACTGTTTCATGTTTAAGGCTGGCAATGCTAATTCACTGCCTCATAATTAGCGGCAGTGTTGTCAGGCTCATGCTCTCCCTGAGTTGGCTATTGGGCTGCTTATCAGATAGACCTAATGAGCAAACCACACAGGCAACTAAAAGAGTGCACATGGCAGGCTGACAATGCTTGTCTTGATGTAGTGTTTTAGCCTGAAACAGGACGTTCTGTTACTGGCAGGATCTCCATGTAGGAAGCTTTGCAACAGATTCACAAACAATGATTTGCTTAAGAAAACTGTATACAATGAGACAGGATGCCAAACATAATGAAAAATAGATTATGGGTTTATATACAATTTGATTTGTGCCTTTTTATCTGCCTAAATTTCGGCTTTAAGAAGCAGGGTGAAAAGCCCCAAAACTGTAAGAGAAATACAAAGGCTGCAATTGCTGACCTCTCCTTCTGAAAATGTTGTCTAGTTATCCACCTTTTTTTGGCAGTACTACTCTTTGAGTAACTGACCCAGCACATGCAGCTAGTAAAGTTAGAGAAATGCCTGAATCCCCTAGCTGCATTTTTATTCCAAGTAAGCCAATGAATTATTGTGAACGTGTAAAATTAGTGTGAAAGTCAACTAGTGTTTTCAGAAGAAGAGGTCAACAATGGTGTCTTTTATATTTTTCTCAGAGCAGGTCTAAGGCTCCGTTCACACCAGGGCATTTTCGTTACGCGGATTTTGAAACGGATTGGAACGCCAAGATTGAAAATCCCATACATTCTTATGGGGACCACACATTCTAATACGCCTGTCACCTAAAATGCTCCCTGAGCTACTTTTCTCACGCTGATCAGCGCACTTTCCATACAGACTTCAATGGAAATGCACTGATCAGTGCATTTTTGCAATTTTTTAATCACATTTCAGCGCTGAGAAGTGCATAAAAACCAGCAAAAATGTGCTTTTAAAAAACGCACGGAAAACTCACTGAAATGTTGGCGCCCTGGTGTGAATAAGGCCTAACTGCTGATCTGCCTTTACTGTGTGCTTAGAAAGTCATCACATATAATGTTGGTGACCCTAATTTTGTACCTGAACTGGTTGCAGGGTCACTTGTGCAATGCTTTTTAGTGTTAGCATTTCCTCCTCTCGTGTTTTCTTGTTGGTTCCTCCTATCTCGTCTTTTCTTCCCATATTGTTGTCTTTGTTTTGTCCCTTGCCTCTATTTATTTTGAGACCTGGATGTGTCCTGTCTTCCATGCCCCCACTAGTAGGTGGTCAACTTAGACATAGTCCTGTTGGAGTAACACCATGGCAATGAATCACTTAACCCTGAATGCACAGGGCCTGAACTTACCTACTAAGAGAGCTAAAACCTTCCAGTTTTTTCACACGGTTCACGCTGATGTAGTATAACTACAGGAAACTCAGTTACAAAACATTGGGGTCTATTCACTAAGCTGCCGAGGGCAGCCGAGTGACCAACCGCTGAAATCAGCCGTACACCGGCTTGCTTCACATGGCTTTGGGTCGGCCGAACATGCTCAGCATGTTCGGCCGACCCGAAGTGCAGAAGGA